GTTGCATTTCACTTTTGACAACTTCCAATTTTCCTAGATTCATACGTCATACAGTCTATGTATTGATTATTAATGGATGATTTTCTTCTCATTTTGAGTTGTGCCCCCATCAGCAAATGAAAGTCCTGAAAGTTTTGCTCTACTCACATCACTAAGGTCAACACTGCTTTGAAGAGTCAGCTTTTCCCAGTCTTATATTGAAAGTCTTTCAACCTGAGGAGCTTATCTTTTGGCACTATATCTCACAACATGCTGCTGCTATTTATAAGGTTTCATCATTTGGCCCTATATCTGAAAATGTTCTACTGCTATACATTTCAGGGGCTAACCATTCAATACTAGTCTCCCTCTCCTTCTTTCTAGTCTGTCCTAGACTAGAAGTTCAGTGGAAACCTGTCCACTATGGGTGATTCTACTGGTATTTAATATATTGGTAACATAGTTTGTGGTATCACGGCAGCATGCAAGCCACCACAGCATGACAAACTAACAGACAGTAGCATGTGGTATGGTTTCAAATATCTTCTTTTGGAGACCCTGTTGTCTCTGTACCATATCATCAAAAGACTTCTTTCCCAATTGAGCTGCTTAGTATCCTCGGCTAAAATCAGTTGACCATAGATGTGTGAGTTTATTTCTCTACTCTCAGTTCTGTTCCAATTGTCTGTATGTTTATCCTTATAGTAGTATGAGAAAGTTTATTATTTTTTATGTCTGTAGAAGAAGCACTGGTTTGTGAATGACAAGCTCAGAGGTTCTTTCTGCTCCTTCAAATATTATAGCCTTGGAAACACTATACAGTGTTGCTATGAGTCGGAACCAACTCCAAGACACTTAACAACAATAACAAAAGTATATTTTAAGATCAGGAAGTTTGTGTCTTCCTAATTTATTTCTGTTTTTCAAGAATGTGTTATATCTTTTGGAATTCTAACAGTGCTATATGAACTTGAGAATCAGGTTTTCCCTTTCTCCATAAAGGCTGTTGGAATTTTGATAGGATTGTATGATAATTGTTGATCACTGTGGAAAGCACTGACATCTTAATCCTACCTCGTGTTGTTAAGTGGCATTGAGTCAGTTCTGACCCATAGAAACCCTGTATAGAGTTTCCAAAGAGTGGCTAGTGAGCTTGAACTATAGACCCTGCAATTCAAACTGACCTTGGGGTCCATTGCTTACCTTACAGTGCCACACCAGGACTCCATCTACACATATATTATTTGATATAAATTTATGAAAAATATTGTGTAGGTTGCATTCCTATACATATACATATGGCAAGGTTAGCACTTAATAAGTAGATCATGAAAAATTTATATTTATAAATGAGCTTCCAGACAATACAGACTAGGAAGAAAGATAGACAAACACCTTCTGAATATTTAGTCACTGAAAAACTTATGAATAGCACAGAAAAATTGTCAGATACAGTGCCAGAAAATGAGCCTCTCAGGTTGGAAGGCACTCAAAATGCGACTGGGAAAAAGCTGCCTCCTAAAAGTAGAGTTGATTATGATGACGTGAATGGAGTTAAGCCAGTGGAAGTAAAACACGCAGGAACGTCATTTGCTGATGGGGCACAACTCAAAATGAAGAGAAATAGCTGTAAACATCCATTAATAATCGGAACATGAAATGCACGAACCATGAATCTAGGAAAATGGGAAATTGTCAAAAATGAAATGGAATGCATAAACATCGATATCTTAGGCATTAGTGTGGTGAGATGGATTAGTATTGGCCTTTATGAATCTGACAACTACAAGGTTACTATGCCAGGAATGCCAAATTGAAGAGGAATGGTGTTGCATTCATTGTCAAAAAGAACATATCCAGGTCAGTCATGAGGTACAACGCTGTCTGTGATAGGATAATATCCATGTGCCTAAAAGGAAGCCCATTAATACCACTATTATTCAAATTAATGCACTAACCACTAAAGCCAGTGAAGATGAAATAGAAGAATTCTACCAACTTCTTCAATCTGATATTCATCCGACATGCAATCAACATGTACTGATCATTACTGGTGATTGGAATGCAAAGATTGGGAACAAACAGGAAGGACCAGTAGTTGGAACCTCAGTGACACAAATGATGATAGAGATCGCATGATAGATTTCTGCAAAATCAATGATTTGTTCATTTCAAATACTTTCTTTAGACAGCATAAGAAAGATTATACACATGGGCCTCACCAGATGGGATACACAGTAATCAAATAGAACACATCTATGGAATGAGATGATGGAAAAGCTCTATTTCATCAGTCAAAATGAGGCCAGGAGCAGATTGTGTGATACATCATCAATTCCTCATATGAAAATTCAAACTGAAGCTGAAAAAAATAAAAACAAGTCCATGAGTGCCGAAATATGATGTTGAATAAATCCCACCTGAATTTAGAGATTATCTGAAGAACAGATTTGAGACATTAATCACTAAAGACTGAAGACCACAGGAGTTGGGGGATGACATCAAGAACATCATACAGGAAGAAAGCAAAAAGTCATCAAAAAGACAAGAAAGAAGGAAAAAATTAAAATGGATGTCAGAAGAGACACTGAAACTTGCTCTCCAGCATAAAAATGCTAAAGCAAATGCAAAAAATGAGAAGGTACAAGAGCTAAACAGAAAATTTCAAAGGTCAGCTCGAGAAGACAAAGTCAAATATAAATGTGCAAATATCTAGAATCAGAAAACCAAAAAGTAAGAACACACTCAGCATTTCTCAAGCTGGGGGAACTGAAGAAAAAATTCAAACATGGACTGTTGTTATTGAAGGATTCTCTGGGTAAATTACTGAATGATGCTCAAAGCATCAAAAGAAGGAAGGAATACATAGAGTCACTGTACCAAAAGGAAATAGTTGATGTTCCACCATTTCAAGAGGTAGCATATGGTTAAGAGCCAATGATACTGAAGGAGGAAGTCCAAGGTGCATTGAAGGAATTGGCAAAGAACAAGGCACCAGGAATTGATGGAATACAAATTGAAATCTTTCAAGAAAGTGAGGCGGCACTGGAGACACTCACTCATCTATGTCAAGAAATTTGGAAGACAACTATCTGACTGACTGATTGGAAGAGATTCATATTTGTGCCCATTCCAAAGAGAGGTTACCCAAGATAAAGCAGACATCATCGGACAATATATTTGATATCCCATGCGAGTAAAGTTTTACTAAAGGTAATACAGAAATGGCTGCAAACATACATTGACAGAGAACTTCCAGAGGCTCAAGCTGGATTCAAGAGTCCATGGAATGAGGGATATCATTGCTGTTGTCTGATGGATCTTGGCTGAAAGCAGAAAATATCAGAAAGATGTTTGCCTGTGCTTTATTGACTATGCAAAGGCTTTTAATTGTTTGGATCATGACAAGCTATGAACAACATTGCAATGTATGAGTAGTCTGGAACACTTAATTGTGCTCAGGAGGTATCTGTACCTGGATCAAGAGGCAGTTGTTCGAACAGAATGTGGGAACACTGAATGGTTTAAAATTAAGAAAGGTGTGTGACAGGGTTGTATTCTTTTACCACACTTACTCAACTTGTATGCTGAGCAAATAATCTGAGAAGCTGGGCTATATGAAGAAAAACTTGGCATCAGGATTGGAGGAAGACTCATTAACAACCTGCAATATGCAGATGATACAACCTTACTTGCTGAAGATCAAAGATCACAACCTTCAATATAGATTGCATCTCAATGTGAAGAAAACAAAAATCCTCACCACTGAATGAATAAACATCATTCTCATCAATGGAGAAATATTGAATTTGTCAATGATTTCATTATTCTTGGATCAACTATCAACACTCATGGAAGCAGCAGTCAAGAGATCAGATGACTTATTGCATTAGGCAAATCTGCTACACAGGAACTTTTTAAAGTGTTGAAGAGTAGAGATGTCAGCTTGAGGACTAAGATGTGCCTGACCCAAGCCATGGTATTTTCAATCACCTCATATGGATGCGAAAGCTGGACAGTGAATAAGGAAGATCGTAGAAGAATTTATGTCTTTGAATTATGGTGTTGGAGGAGACTACTAAAAGTGCCATGGACTGCCAAAAGAACCAATAGATCTGTTTTGGAAGAAGTGCAGCCAGAGTGCTCCTTAGAGGCCACGATGGCCAAACTTCATCTCTCATACTTTGGACATATTGTCAAGAGGGAATAGTTGCTAGAGAAGGATATCATGCTTGGTGAGATGGAGGGTCAGAAAAAAAGAGGAAGATCCCCAACAAGATGGATTGGCAGGTGGCAGGCATCGATGGACTCAAGTGTGGCAACAGTAGTGAGGTCAGCCCAGGATCGGACATTGTTTCATTCTGCTGTGCATAGGGTCGCTATGAGTCGGTTCCAACTCGATGGCACCTAACAACAACAACAAAATTTCCAGACTTAAGGTATTGTGATAATAAGAATAAAAACCAAAGGTACAAGTCTGTTCTGTTAGTTATATTTGTCTGCTAATTGTATCCTCTAATGTGATGTTTAATATGGGTCCAAGAAAAAAAAAGAAGGGGACACTTCTAGTCAGTATAAAAGGATATCTATCATGTTCTTATAGAGGTTGACTAAAGTAAGGCTATGAGCTCACAGTATTCCATTTCAGGAGATCTGGAATTTTCTCAGTGTCATTTCTATTCCAGTGAAGTGAATAGCAGAGGTGCACTTCACAGACGAAAGAGGGTATGGAATAGGCTGTAATTACTCTCTGAAGTCCTTCTGAGTTTCCATGTTTTGGAACTGAAATGTAGTGCTTCATAGAAAACTAAAAGAAAAGTCTTAAATGGACACATTTAATGGTTATTAATGAAAAATAGTTCATATAAAAAGGAAAATAAAGCAGGCAAACAGACAGAGAGATCAATGGGGTTAGGTGGATGATAGGCAAAGAGGAAGAGAGAGAGAGAGAGACGGAGAGATTTCTAAAGGTTTTTCTTACATTGTATATTTAGTTAAATCCTTTCCCAAGAAGGCATTACCTGAAATGACACCACAATAATGACTGTGAGGAGCGGACTTCTCTTTGACTTTTTCTTCCATGGATCTTTTCTGCCTATACACACGGTGTGGGTGACCTGTAATGGCCACTGTGTTATTGAGTGGCTCAATAAATATGAAGTCCTCATTGATCTGTATAAATCCCATCTGGAATACATAACATAAAAAGACACATAAACATTACCATTAAGTGACTTACTTTCTTGGTTTCCAATTCACACACATACTCTATTTCTCTTTCATATGTGTGCAACTCTAAGGTAGCTATCTCCCTATTTTATTATCTCATTTTAATGTATTTTATTACACTAGCAAAAACTTCATTTTGTCAGTCTTAGTCTGTGTGGGTGGGAGGCTAGCTGCCAGTAACAGATGCACAGCAAAACTTCTGGAATGTTAAAGGTTCACTTTGGGAGACCCATGGGGTTACTTACATGTACAGCATGTACAGAAAGAGCCATACAATTTTTAATTGCATACACCCCACAGTCAAACTTTTAGACATTCATTATTTAATAAAATAATTCATCTATATCAAGGCAAGTGTAGGATACTAACATTGAAATTAATATATAAAGTAGTCTTAAAACTTTCTTCTTTAAAAAGCCTTCAGATAAGATATTAGACCAAAAATGAAGCATCATTAACTTAAGTTATATTTCATATAATACCATATTTTAAAGTCAATTGGGAACAGTGAATTGAAACCATAAAATACAGTTATGCTAAAATGAAAGTATAACTTATAACAAGTACATATTCTTGCAATATATCTAGGCTAAACACTGTTGTGTAATTTTAATGTAACCTCCAATGAGTTATTTTATAGTCGATGCATGTTTTGTTTCACTCAAAATCTTAAAGTGACTGAAATTCTAAAATAATTACATGAAATTCAGACAAATTTCTCTTGAGCCTAATTTGATGAGGGAAAAAAAGAGAAAGTCTTACATACTTGTATAAAAACATTAAATACTGGGAATGAAAACTACAGTTATAGGTGTATGGAGGATAGATCTAGATAGTGAAATGCAAAAAATAGCTCTACTCAGACAGCTTCAATAGTTCATTGCAGTGGCCACACAGAACTCAGACATGAGTCTCAGATTGATGGGGTTTATTAGGAAGTTAACAGGTTACAATTCAGAGTCAGAAATGTTAGCAGTACAGTTTTTTAAAAATCTAGTCAGGATAACCTCGATTCATTTGTACCCACAGGCAGGCCTCTATGTTGCCCAATGTTACAAAGCTCTTTAAGAGCCCACAGGATACAATATTCCCATGAGTCTTAGCTTGAGGGCACTCCAGTATAGCTCCATAGGTTAGCAAACCTTCTCCCTCCAATTAAGTGCCTGGAGGTACCCCAGTGTGTAAGCAAGCTTCCTACTCCAAGTTGCTCAGTTTTACTTGGCCCATGGACTGAGAAGCCCACTGCTCTGTCTTGTGCTTTGGTTTTTGGTTCTGCTGCTGCTGCTTCTCTGCCACTCCTCCAGTGACACAGCTTTCTTTTTTAGGGTCTTAGGGGAAAAGCTTCTTCTTCTTTGGTGGTTCTGGGATGGCTCATTGTATACATGTTAGAATTCCAGATTTTTATACTTACAATTAACCTTGTTAACCATTCACAACAAAGTCATATAATCCTGTCAGCATCTCTCCCATCTTCTCTCACTCAGATCTGTCACGGCCAAAATATTGTTTGATGGGAGTTACAAAGACTAAGACTAGAAAAAATGAATAAGTATTTCACTGCACCATCACCATAGAAGATATTGTTGTTGTTGTTGTTAAGTGCCGTCAAGCCAGTTCTAACTCATAATGATCCTGCATAGGGTTTCCAAGGAGCAACTGGTGGGTTTGAACAGCTGACCTTGTGATTCATAGTCCAGTGCTAATCTTATAGCACCATACCAGGAGTCATATATTTTATTCTTATCTAATGTATTGCAGTGACTCTGAAATTTACTCACTACTTAAGGCCACTAATAAAATTGATCAAGATAACATTTATGATGCTCATTGCGAACATCTCAGGTAAATATGCTCAGTTTATCTAAATCATAAATGAACATTTTGTGATATACTGTCTTTCAATGGGGTTTAAAACATAAATTTATATCAAAACCTTATAAAATAGTATTGTGCACCAATGTGAAAATTTAAAGGCCCCAAGGACAGATTCTTGGCTTACATAATTTGGGTTTATAATTTGAGAAAGTTCCACCATCTTTATTTATACAAAGTCATAGAGATGTTTTGAGGATTAAATTCTTCAAAATGCATGCAACACTTACTTAAGGACTTTATATTAGATAAGTACTCAGCAAATGTTTGCTCTTATTTTCAACTTAAAAATAAGAATTGTCACAGAAATTAATAAATATTTGAATGTACAATGAAAAACTAATATACTCCAAAGAATAAAAAATATTTTGGGGGGTAGGGTGGGATAGGATTTGAAAATCTCTTGAAAATATAGAGTTGTTTGTTGTGTTAGAAAACAAAAAGGTCACATTTTAAAATGAGAATAAACATTGGAATAGTTATATATGGTATCTCATTCGTTCAACACATATTTACTGTCTGAGCACTGTTTGCCAGATTCACTTCACTCTGGGGAATATTTAGAACTAAGGGTCACACTGAACTTTCTGATTGATCAGAATTCTACCCTGTGGTACAGAAAAGTGCTTCAAGTTGAGTTAGTATCTTTCAAAGTACTTGCTTACTTAACCAGATTTGCAGAAAATCATGAATCTTTGTTTCCCCTCATTTTTCCAGTTATCTTCACTGTGATTTGCCAAGTCTTAGAAGACTATAAACCTGAAAATAATCACTCTTCACAAGTGTCCAACAATCCACAATATGGTAGCATTTTCCTTAGTGAGAAATTGGTCCTCTCAATGTTTAACAGCCAATTTCAAGGAAAGAAAATACTATATGAATTAAATGGAGAAAAGATTGAAGTTTTCAAAGATTGTACTTTACTTGGATCCACAATGAAAGGTCAAAAGAATCAAATGATGTGTTGCATTGGAGAAAACTTGCATGAGACCTCTTTAATGTGTTTAAGGGCAAAGATGTTAGTGTTAGAACTAAGGTGTGTCTGACCCAAACTATAGTATTTTCAGTTGCCTCATATACAACTGAAAATTGAATAATGAATAAGGAAAACTGAAGGTGCCTTTGAATCATGGTGTTGGTGAAGAATATTGAATATAACATGGACTGTCAGAACAAATAACTCTTAGAATAAGTACACCAGAATGGTTCTTGGAAGTGAGGAAAGCAAAACTTCATCTCATATTCTTTGAACATGTTATCAGGAGGGACAATCTTTGGAAAAAGACCTCATGTGTGGTAAAGTAGAGAGTCAGTAAAAAAAAAGGACGATCCTCAATGAAATGGATTGATACAGAGCTGCAACAATGGACTGTAACGCAACAATGGTTACTCCATAGGGTTTCCAAAACGATCAGTCTTTTAGGAACATTCTTTTGTTTCTCCTATCAAACGGGCTTAAACCACCAACCTTTCAGTTAGCATCCAAAAGCTTAACCCACTGTGCCACCAGGACTTCTTGAAAATAAGCTACTAGTCATTTATTTTCTTATTGGATCTATGTTTCATATTATCTTTGTTTAGATGCCCCTGTAATTTTTACACAACAACTGACCTATGTCTCCATGTAAGTGTATTCATACTTCTCCCCATTTCTAATCACAACATAAAACTTGATTTGATCAATATGCAAGGATGTTTACATATTATTGCATCAATTCAGCAAATATGAAAGGTTCATTTGTTCAAATTTCAAAGTAATTACAATTTATTAAATATATGAACAGATTCTAAAAATCTAATCTAAGTAGTATACACTCTATACTCTTTTCCCCTCTTCCTGAGAAACAATTTCACTTCCATGCCACACTTCCATAATTGAAGAACTTCTATAATTATCTCAAGTATGCTCTTGATTCTTTCTTGCAAATTTAAGTACTTTATGATCTAGAATCTTGGTTTTCCAAGTGAATTTGGATTCTAGACAACAAAATTCATTGGATTCTTACTATTGTTATTGTAAGACATGCTATTAGAAATAAGTAGCATATGACAAAAATTAGTATTTAATATATATATATATATATATATATATTTAAAATTTTCCTGAAGTAGTTCAAAACGGTTGCAGCAGTACATTAACAGAGAGCTGCCAGAAATTTAAACCAGATTCAGGAGAGGGATGGAACTAGGGATATGATTGCTGAAATCAGGTGGCTCTTGGCAAAAGCAGAACATACCAGAAAGATGTTTATTGTACTTTATTGACTGTTCAAAGTCAATCAACTGTATGTATCATAACTCTGGATAACATTTCAAAGCATGGGAATTCCAGAAGACTTAATTTTACTCATGAAGAATCTGTACATAGACCAAGAAGCAGCTATTTGAATAGAACAAGGGAATACTGAATGTTTAAAATCAGGAAAGGTGTGTGTCAGGGTTGTATCCTTTCACCATACTTATTCAATCTGTATGCTGAGCACATAATCCAAGAAGTTGAATTATACAAAGAAGAACAGAACATCAGAATTGGAGAAATTCTCCTTAACAATTTTTGATATACAGATAATGCAAATTTGATTGCTGAAAGCAAAGAGGACTTAAAATATTTACTTATGAAAATCAAAGACTACAACCTTTAGTAAGGATTGCACCTCAATGTAAAGAAATGAAGAATCCTCACAACTGAACCAACAAGTAATATCATGATAAAATAAAAGATTGAAAAGTCAAATACTGCATTTTGCTTGGATGCACCATCATTACATGCACACAGCAGTCAAGAAATCAAAAGACATCTTTAGTGTTAAATAGCAAAGATGTCAGTTTGCGGACCTAAGTCCTGGTATTTTCAATAGCCTCATATACATGTGAAACTTGGATAATGAAAAAGGAAGACCATAGGAGAATTGATGCATTTGAGTTATGATATTAGAGAAGAATATTAGAAGTACCATTACTTACAGAAGAACAAACAAATCTATGTTGGAAGAAGTACAATCAGAATGCTCCTTAAAAACCAGGGCGGTGAGACTTTACCCCTTCTACTTTGGACATGTTGTAGGAAGTACCCAGTCCCTGGAGAA